AAACAAAGCCCTAATTTGCACAAGAAAGGAAAAGCCTGAGGGATTCTGGCAGTAAGTAAAATTATGCCAACGTACAAGAGCATGTAACAGGTTATTATATTAATGTCATTAAATTGTGCCTTTATTTGTTAATGAAACTCCTATCCTAATATAGTCCAAAAATCAGGGCTCAACATTGTGAGGTCAACTCTTGTTATTGAGGTCACCCACGGGACCGCGAGTTAGTGTACTTGATAGTAAACAAAAGTCCGCAATGGGGAGGGATTTAGCTACTATTCGTATACCCGGGGTGACTGTAATAGCAGCGTGTCCGTAAGGCGAGAGTTGACTGTATCGCTAGTCCTTATATCCATTTCGCTCCCGATTTCACAGACTGCTTCCCTGGACCGATCAAAAAAAAGTAAGCAGTTTCATACCCCGCACTCCCCACATCTTAACTATCATGTTGTCCATCGTGGTTTATTTAGCCATTGCCGTTATTAGACTCAGCAATTAGCTTTGGTGTGTTCTTTCAGTTAACATAATATGTTTTGGAGTGTTTTTGGAGTGGATTGACATGATTTTTTTCCTTGTTTTTGCTCGAAATTTGCATGTAAGCGCCGCGAGGACCAAGTCCGGCATGCCGCGGAAGGCTGGGTTTTTTTGAGAGATGTGTTTTTTCTGCTTGTTGCATAGAGAAGTTTGTAATCCACCTGAGTTAAGTCATTTGTGAAGCCTTCTTTGAAGAGTGTCATTAAAAATTAGGTCGCCATTACATAATAAAAATGCCGTTTACGTTATAAGCACTATAATCTGCAAAATGGCTTCAAAATAGTAGGTTGTCCCTTCTCACTTTTTCTTTCTTTGCTAAAGTTATTATAAACAGATATTGATATTGAAGTTACAGTGTAAGTAGAGTCTATTTTTTAGATGGTTACTTTGTTTTTACAATAAAGCCTACTTTAGTGAAATGATAGAATAGGTATCCTTATATGCTTTGTTTGCATTTGTGTCTACACACCACAGTAACGGGCATTACAAGTAGGTGTACCATTAAGATAGTACACGTAAAATGAACCACAATTTCTCACTTTGATGTTTCTTGAGTAACCATATAGCAGTAACCATTATTAAAATACACCGTCCTGGTGACCTGACCGTCTGCTACTGAGGGGTGTCCACCATATAGCCAGCCGGTATAATAGGTACCACACCTTTTGTAAGATGTACATGATGTTGCCATTCTGGTGCCGGCAGACCCCTGGAAACGGAACCATCCAGGGCCGAGATTGCTATCGCAATAACCCCTGTACCCGTAGTACGAAGTTCTTCGGCTTCCACTGTTGAGACTCGCGTAGTTCCGACATTCTGGCATAAAAGAAGAAAAGGAACAGTCACTGGACATTGGATATCTTTTTTAGTTAAGCGTACCTTTGCAACGTTTCATTTACTGAACATCAGCTCGAGCGAAAACGAACGGGAGCTTTTCATGTCCTAAATTCCCCACCACACCTTCACTTTTGATAAGCACTGAACAACACAGAAAGAAAACACTATTACCCATCAGCGGCATCGACATAACTTGTGCTAGTAGCGGATTAGTTATCTCACGCCTGTTAAATACAGCGTTAAATCATTTAAAAGGAAAACATGGATACAACCTATTAATAGCTTTGACGAGTGACTTCCTGGGGAAATGGGATCGTGCATATGTAGCAAAGTGTTTGAATATTTCATAACTGAATTGACCATAATTACTAACTGCGGATAACGACAGTTGTAACCTTGAAGCTAAGTCAATACTGACATTTTCAAAAACGTCCTCAACTAAAACCTCATAAGGTACTTTCGCGTAGATTCGCTACATTAAGATTTTTTCTGTGGCAATTCAATCGTCAAAAGACTGCTAACTCAGGAAAAAGTATAAGCGCACTATATAAATACTAAAGTATATTTATACAAGGTCGTTTATACCGAAAAAATAGTTTCAAAATCCATTGAGCGAGGATGGCCTTATATCAACTTAAGGGCCAGCTATTCCTTTTTTGCGCTGCTTCATAACGTAGGCGAAATATAGTCCTTCAGCCATTATGTTAGCAAGCATTTTAAAATTTGTTAGTTGAAAACAAACAATGTAGTACAGAAAGATTTATTTGGCGGGCGCTATGATGAAAAGTCTATTTCAGGACCAAAATCAAGAATACCACTCGAAGGAATTTTAAAAGAAGAATATCTTCAAAATAGAAATGAAAGACGACAGTAGAAAATTCAGATAATTTCTCCCCCAATGATTGTTCTATTGCTCGTGAACCTGTGACTCAGAAACTAATACTCAGTACTCGCGCGTATTTTCTAAAATATTTTAAGTATTTCTTCTAATTCGTATCATCATTCTTCTTCGGATTTTCGCGTTGGCTAGTTAGTCCTTAGAGTTAGAGACTACAATCAAAGTTAATTGGCAAACTTAAGAAACTCAACTCGCCTTAAGGTTAGAGTAGAAATTTCATTAATCAAAAGAGAGTTGCCTACAGGACGAGCCGGCTGACGCCTTCTCAAGCTGGACCGTTTCTTGCAGGACTATTCGTTAACAAGCGAAAAAAGAGTATTCCCCGTGATCACACGGTGATCGAGAGGGTCTCAAAAGCTATCTTCTCAAACCTCAATAAATATTGATAGTAAAGCACTGTTTAAGCAGTCGAGGTCAGCGCAAGGTGCATCAATCACAAGTGAATAGCTGCGGGTTTGGTAACTGAATATATCTTTCTCGTTACCTGAAGGTAGATTGCAAGTTCTGCCATTTCCGCTGGAAGGATTATTACATGCACAACTAAAGGATCCCGCTGTGTTGGTACAAGAAGCAAGTGAACTGTGACAGTCATCAGTACCGCTGGTGCACTCGTCAATATCTGCAAACAGAAGAATAGCAATATGTATAATCTCGCCCACTTTGCAAAGAGGTAGCAGGAGAGAACGAAAACGGAATGAAATAACATAAGCATGATTAAAAAAAAAAAAGTTTTAGCAATCGTTGCACTTACGTCGGGTGAGTTTGTACCGTCTCCACAATTTATTATTATTATTATCATCATCATCATCATCATCATCATCATCATTATTATTATTATTATTATCGTATTATTTATTATTCAGGGAACAAGAAGGGGGTGGGGGAGGGGGATGCTTTCGCGTAGGGTTCCTAAAGTGCGTCGTAAAGGCCCGTGTTCACTGCCGATTTTCCGTGAGATTTGTTCTGTGATTTTAGGCCCGCGTAAGCTAGCAGCTGAGAGGATAAGCGTTCATTTCATGCACCTTATGAAAACCACTGCATGAATAAACATCATTAAGAGTCGTAATTGAATCGCCATAAAAATTAACCTTTAATCGCAGCTTAGATTAATTGCATCAAACGTCGAAGGTTTTAGCAAGCGATCTCTCGGACTGTTGTAAACTGATGAGCAAGAAGTCGGGCTATTGGAAACCTGCTATATTGGAAAGAAAAAATGAGAAACGTGAAATTCAGACTGCTTCTAGGATATCGGAAAACACAATCATACATTTAGTTTTTCGACGATAATAACATTTCTTTTTTTCACTAAACTAGATCTTTTTTTTTTCCCGTAACATTTTAATAACAGTCCCATTTGCGCATGCATGTCCCCCGTCCCCCCACCCCCATATTCCGAAACCAGTGGCCCCGACCCCGATCGCGAAAGACTGCTGCGTGTATGGGTTTTTTTATGTAATGCTAAAATCAGCTAGCTGCCTGGCTACCCATGGCTATCTTATGGCTATGTTGCAGGTCAAAATTAAATTCAGGTTAAAATTTTTAAACCTGATTTAACGGATTATTAAAGCTAATTTTCGTGAGCCCCCAAATTAAACATTGCAAATTTTGTAATGCAGGATTATAGTCATATCCTGCACGCACATTTTGTGTCTGTTTTTTGCTGTTCGCAACCTTACAAGAACGTGATTTTGTCTTAATAATTAGGTATAAAGTTAGTTCCTTAGCTTTATCTTGTTATAATCCCTGATGAAGTCTGTGCCGGATAGGACGAAACCGGTCGAAGAAATAAATCAAGTTAACAAGATCCTCACTTTGCTTTGTGCTGCTCACTAGTGTTCATTTAAAAAATTAATAAGTAAAAAAAAAAAAAAAGAAAAGAAAAAATAAAATGATAAAATAAAATTCAGGTTAAAATTTTTAAACCTGGGTTGTTTCTAAATTTCCAATGGTGTTTTCCTTTGTCTCCTAGCCCTAACTATTGATCATGAATTAGAATCAACCTGGGGTAGAAAATCTCGGTTTAACCTGAGTTTTAATTTGACCTGTAACAGCTAGTTGTATTCCAAGAAGCCAGTACCTTAAGTTTTCTCCTATTCAACAAGATATATAATTGTAAAGTAATAATGATCGTTGGTTCCAGATGTTGTTGTTGTTGTCGTTGTTGTTGTCTGACCAACCAAAAACCTTTTTCTTCTGCACGCGAGTAAACCAGCTTTCAGGAATCAAAGACATTATTTCCTTTCTTCCAAATCACCGTTAGAAAAAGTTTAAAAAGGCTCACCAGTGCATGTTCTTCCATCTCCTGAGTATCCTACTTTGCATGCGCATGCGTACGATCCCACAGTATTGTTGCACGCCGCATTGACGTCACAGCTATGGGTGTTGGTAGAACACTCGTCGATATCTGGAAAAATATAGTGAAGCCGGGGTTAAGGATAAGAGATTTTGCATCTGCCTGATGGTACTAACTTTGATTAATTTGGATTCGGCCTCTGTACTCTAACTCCCCACTCCCAAGATCTGTGTCTTCATATCATACAAGAGCAGGAATAAAAAATTATTTTACTAATTCAAGATATTTCAAAACTTTTAATTATGCTTCCCTTCATCGATGGAAAGTTTCTGTCGTCTCCATAACATTTGCCTGTTCCTCGGAATTTCAGGATATAAGGGCATGTTTAGTCTATAGAATATCTATATTCAAGAGCTGTTTTCATCGGTCGAGTCCAATGTTTGTTGTTCAATTTCCTTTGTTTTTAGGCTTTTTTTCTTCTTCGCCATTTTCTCCAGCATCACCAAAACTAAACCGCCCAGCCTCTTTTTAAACCGCGCTCCAGAGTGGTTTAAGGCCTCGTCCATACGAAAACAAGAAAAAATATGCGGTTCCGGGATCTCAGTCGAGTCAGGAGAAACGGCGGCGCGACTGACTTCCCCTGGGTCTACGCGGATGCCTCTCATTGACAAATTTGGTCAACGGTAGCTGATTATGAAGAATTAGCTGGGGAATATTTAGAACCAATCAGAAACGCAGAAGTATTTTGAATTAATAAGAGGTTTCTTATTCCAGTTTGCTTGATGAAAAGTCTGGTTCAACTACAGCAGGTAATGCGTCACTATAAGAGATCATTACGGATAAGGATTATACATCAAATGACGCGGGTTTAAGTCCTACATACTACCTATTGTTTTCTTCTGTTGTTTCTGCTCTTATTTACTACTTTAAGTTATAAGACTCCTATCATGTATTTTGATTGAAGATAACAATCTGACTTTGGGGTATCCATTCTAGTCACAACCATTCACCAAGGGAGCGAGCGTCCTGGTTTATAGCCGTGGAGGGAGAGAGGCGAGAAAACCGTCCTCCTCTCTCTAAGTAGATTTGACACTTATCCAAGATGGCCGCCTGTAACGCAAAGTCTTCGATCTCGACGGCCTTACGGAAAAATAGGGGACTATGACCAGTCTAATTCGGCTTCCCAGAAGAAACAGAGATACATATATTCGTTACTTTTTTTAACAACTTACCAGTGCATGTCCTTCCATCTCCTGTGTACCCTGCTTTACATGCGCATGCGTACGATCCCACGGTATTGTTACAGACCGCATTGGCGTCACAGCTGTGAGAGTTGGTGGAGCACTCGTCGATATCTGCATGAGAAAGTAGAATCGCACAAGGCTTAAGAGTCACGGAGATTATATCTACCTGATAGTTTACATCTGGTCGCTGGTATATATGTAACAAAGCAAAAAATGCAAGTGAAAGTGTCAAGCGTTAGTTTTACACTGCATAGAACCGCATTTTTTTTTTTTTTCACACGAATCGGTCTTCCGTCCATACGAAACCAATGAATCTGCTCACCTAAACCGTATGTTTTTAAAACCGCTCAGAGTTTGCACGAATCTGGGTAAAAAAAGATTTTTGATGCGTGTGGACGTGCTTCGCCTGAATTATTATATAATATACCATTGCAAGGTTTTCCGTCTCCTGTGTAGCCGGCATTACACGAGCATGTGTATGAACCCACGGTATTCTGGCATACGGAATTGACGTCACAGGAATGCGAACCAGTGGTACATTCATCCAAGTCTAAAAGGAAAAATCACACAGTGTGATATTAAACACTCTTTAGTCTAACGGGTAAACTGTAAAGAGAAAAAAAATGTGAGGAAAACGTGACTCGCAAAAAGGATCTTAAAAACCTTGCCTTGCGGAGCTCATATTCGTTGAGCCATTTACGAAAATGTTTTTTTAAAAAACAGGTTTCGTTTCGTAACCGTGAAAAACATAAAAGAAATGTAAGCGTGCCTACAAGTCCACGTCAGAGTTGATGTGAACGAAATGTTTAAACGGAATTTCGTTTGCTATTTCTTCAAACTCATCTTTGGTACAGATTTCAGGCTTTGTGGACATTTCAGTCTTTGTCTGTAAATGGGAATGATTTGTGTAAATGGCAGACGAGAGTCTCAAACGAAATGTACCAAACTCTTTGGTTTGCTAATGGTTAATGACAATGTTTTCAATAACAAAACCACTCTCAAACTTTTTCAGTCGGACTCTGATTTGTTTCAAGATTTTTTTTTCTAATAGGTCTTTCTTTATTGTAGTTGAATGCCTTGGGGCACTATAGGCTAACCGAGGGTCACAAAAACATAATTATTTCTTATCTTGGTACCTAGTAAACAATATTATCTCATATACCTTTAAAACAAGTATAGTTATAGCAGTTATGACAAGGCACATCATTCCAAGTGTAACCATGTTTTGCGCCAAGAGTGTGAACACAATCTTCATTTCTCCAGTTGTTCGGTTGCTGCGGCGCCCAAAATCTAAAACTACTTATTTCTTTGTTTGTCCACACAAAGGAGCCCTCCACACTTCGGTCATTAAGTCCAATCCAGGATCTCTCTCCATTGTGTCGGTGTTGAATGTATACATTTTCATCTTGGTTATGAACTGTTACCAAATTGGAACTCATTGTTGAACAGTTTGATACAGCGGTGATCCAAGAGCCACAAGTGCGACTTGTAAAGTATCAGTAGCCACTAAAATAGCTCCAACCTGACTGGCAAATACCTAGGATAAAGCTATAACCTTAGTTGGAATCAGGATGTCCAATTCCCCGGGGTGGATAGTAATCGTCCCACTCTATCTTCCTTGCCTTTACTTAAGGAACATGAGGATCCAACTGAGTGCTTATCTCTTTAGTGAGCTAAAGACCGTTAAAACTGCGTGAGATCATGCTAACACAGTGAATACATGTATAATATACTTATTAATAAATATAACTGAAAAAAAAANTCAAATTTGGTCAACGGTAGCTGGTTATGAAGAATTAGCTGGGGAATATTTAGAACCAATCAGAAACGCAGAAGTATTTTGAATTAATAAGAGGTTTCTTATTCCAGTTTGCTCGGTGAAAAGTCCGGTTGAACTACAGCAGGTAATGCGTCACTATAAGAGATCGTTACGGATAAGGATTATACATCAAATGACGCGGGTTTAAGTCCTACATACTACCTATTGTTTTCTTCTGTTGTTTCTGCTCTTATTTACTACTTTAAGTTATAAGACTCCTATCATGTATTTTGATTGAAGATGACAATCTGACCTTGGGGTATCCATTCTAGTCGCAACCATTCACCGAGGGAGCGGGCATCCTGGTTTATGGCCGTGGAGGGAGAGAGGCGAGAAAACCGTCCTCCTTTCTCTAAGTAGATTTGACACTTATCCAAGATGGCCGCCTGTAACGCAAAGTCTTCGATCTCGGCGGTCTTACGGAAAAACAGGGGACTGTGACCAGTCTAATTCGATTTCCCAGAAGAAACAGAGATACATATATTCGTTACTTTTTTTACAACTTACCAGTGCATGTCCTTCCATCTCCTGTGTACCCTGCTTTACATGCGCATGCGTACGATCCCACAGTATTGTTACAGACCGCATTGGCGTCACAGCTGTGAGAGTTGGTGGAGCACTCGTCAATATCTGCATGAGAAAGTGGAATCGCACAAGGCTTAAGAGTCACGGAGATATATACCTGATAGTTTACATCTGGTCGCTGGTCTACGTAACAAAGCAAAAAAAGCAAGTGAAAGTGTCAAGCGTTAGTCTTACACTGAATAGAACCGCATTTTCTTTTTTTCACACGAATCGGCCTTCCGTCCATACGAAACCGATGAATCTGCTCACCTAAACCGCATGTTTTTAAAACCGCTCAGAGTTTGCACGAATCTGGGTCAAAAAAGATTTGTGATTCGTGTGGACGGGCTTTGCCTGAATTAATATATAATATACCATTGCAAGGTTTTCCATCTCCTGTGTATCCAACATTACACGGGCATGTGTATGAACCCACGGTATTCTGGCATACAGAATTGACATCACAGGAATGGGAACCAGTGGTACATTCATCCAAGTCTAAAACGAAAAATCACACAGTGTAGAGATTAAACACTCTTTAGTCTAACGGGTGAACTGTAAAGAGCAAAAAAAAAAGTGGGGAAAACGTGACTCGCAAGAAGGATCTTAAAAACCTTGCCTTGCGGAGCTCATATTCGTCGAGCCATTTACGAAAATGTTTCTTTTAAAAACAGGTTTCGTTTGGTAACTGTGAAAAACATAAAAGAAATGGAAGCGTGCCTACAAGTCTACGTCAGAGTTGACGTGAACGAAATGTTTAAACGGAATTTCGTTTGCTATTTCTTCAAACTCATCTTTGGTACAGATTTCAGGCTTTGTGGACATTTCAGTCTTTGTCTGTAAATGGGAATAATTTGTGTAAATGGCAAACGAGAGTCTCAAACGGAATCTACCAGACTCTTTGGTTTACTAATGGTTAATGACAATGTTTTCAATAAAAAAGCCACTCTCAAACTTTTTCAGTCGGACTCTGATTTGTTTCAACATTTTTTTTTTTCGAATAGGTCTTTCTTTATTGTAGTTGAATGCCTTGGGGTACTAGAGGCTAACTGAGGGTCACTGTCCACGAGAATGAACTATATTCAAAAACAAAATCGTAGCTACGAATTTTACAATTTGACCGAATTCAAATTCACAAAAAAACTACCGAGCGAATTCAAAAACTATTAATCGAATAAACGAAAATTGTCTCTCTGTCCAAGCCCTTCCAAGTTCTAAACTGTTCTGACTTATATTTTTAACACTAGTGTTTTTAATCTCGGTCCATGCAAATTTCCATCACACTTCATCCGATCAGGGCTCGAATGAGTCCCTTAACGCATTAATGTCTTTCACCACCATCGCTAGTTCATTAGTCGTTTTGTCCAGTCACAAAAACATAATTATTTCTTATCTTGGTACCTAGTAAACAATATTATCTCATGTACCTTTAAAACAAGTATAGTTATAGCAGTTATGACAAGGCACATCATTCCAAGTGTAACCATGTTTTGCGCCAAGAGTGTGAACACAGTCTTCATTTCTCCAGTTGTTTGGTTGCTGCGGCGCCCAGAATCTAAAACTACTTATTTCTTTGTTTGTCCACACAAAGGAGCCCTCCACACTTCGGTCATTAAGTCCAATCCAGGATCTCTCTCCATTGTGTCGGTGTTGAATGTATACATTTTCATCTTGGTTATGAACTGTTACCAAATTGGAACTCATTGTTGAACAGTTTGATATAGCGGTGATCCAAGAGCCACAAGTGCGACTTGTAAAGTAACAGTAGCCAATAAAATAGCTCCAACCTGATTGGCAAAAACCTAGGATAAAGATATAACCTTAGTTGGAATCAGGATGTCCAATTCCCCGGGGTGGATAGTAATCGTCCCACTCTATCTTCCTTGCCTTTAATTAAGGAACATGAGGATCCAACTGAGTGCTTATCTCTTTAGTGAGCTAAAGACCGTTAAAACTGCGTGAGATCATGCTACCACAGTGAATACATGTATAATATACTTATTAATAAATATAACTGAAAAAAAAAATTGCCAGTTACAGATTTATAACACTATAAAAGGCGTCTTTAAAGAAAATTCACCCCTGCAATGTCAGCTACGCTTTCATGGGCTAGGTTAATCCGGTTCATTGGGACTACTTAAGCACCGTCCTAATGATATTATGTGTTATTTAAGACAGAATCCACCAGAACATTGAGTAATTTTGATTTTCAGTGGACAAAAATCTTGTACCAGAAAAATTTAAAGCATATTGCATTCTTTCTTACATTTTTCAAGGGCTAAAGATGTAATAAATCATCTGTAGTAATACCAAAAAAGATTACTTATGGGAGCCCTAGAAAATGAATGTCACATAGCGCTGCGCACAGATGACTTCACAAAAACTTGACCCCCACCGAGGCTGTATGGAAACGCACAGTTAGCCTGCGTAGTTGGCGGTATTGTGTTGTAGTCGAGTGAGATTTGGCGGCGGAGCCGTTGTAATATAGTCGAGTAAGATTTGACGGCGGAGCCGTCACGAGCAGCGAAGCCGCGAGAAATACCAACCACCTCGTCCCTACTCCCTTTTTTTGGAACACGGCTCCGTCACCAAAACTTGAATCTCGCACCCAAACAATACCGCCAGCTACGCAGGCTGACGCACGGTTTCCGATCAGTTCTGCTAGCCATTTTATCGTTTTTAGGAGCGTTCCAGTTTCGAAATTCGAGGAACGTCCAGCAAAATATAATGTAGAACAAATCAAAACATTGCTCAAGTGCAAAGGATTGAGGCAGAGCGGAAAATGAGAGAACTTTTACACGCATTGTCTCGATACCCTATTTGCAGCCAAGCCGATAAATGTTTTCAAACAATTCTCATCAAATTCTTTAAAGAAAATTTGATAATTGTTTAGAAATTTCGATTCTGTGCCGAAGTAGAAAGAGTCGTAGTAGTACCAGCTGATATTCGCTAAGTTCAGATTTTCTTGAAAAACAGAGAGACCTACCTAGTTTACATTTTAGACTGCTGGGCCGTACCGGGCTACAGTATTCTGAAAACCGTCCCAGCGATTGGAGATTCGAATATGCTCAAGCTCGGGGAATTCGTCCACTACAAGACCAAACCTGTTTTAGAATTGCTTAGCGTTTGCGAACAAACATCAAATGTTTCAGGGAGGTTTCGATGATAATTTTTCTGGATATCCTAAAAACTGACTTAGTGCGTCACGCCGGTGAGGTGCTGAAAACAATGAGAATTCACAAAATGCCCAAGGTCGACGATTGAGTCTACCTCAAACGAAGGGCAATGTCTGAAATCGCTTGAGATTTCTAAAGAAGCATTTTATGTTTTTAGAAGATTTAAATCGGAGTATTCTTGTAAATGGAATGAATTCAAGACTGTCATGTATCTACCTCTTTCAAAACATTTCCCGGATGCCTGATCACTGCCACAAAACACAGCGTACTTCGCTTTCTTTCCGTATTTCTCGCATTTATTTAGTCTGACTCAGACCACTTTTTCAGGGATCCTTGAGTCCCTCTCACACTCTTTCCAGCTGCAACGCTCGTTGTTTACTATATCCCGATAAAAATACGCGAAAAACACCATGTTTTGACTCAACACTCGGTAAACGCACATACAAAGCCTTTGAGTGAGAAGCAAAGTTTGTCTGAGTCATGCGGGGGGTCTTATCAGAAGAGACTATTTTTAGAATCTGTACGCAGCGCTATTTCACAAAATTACATCTTACACATGAAATTTTCAGAATTTTACCCGTGTTATCACAATTCTTGTGAAATTTTTACATTCATTTTCTCGGACTTCCATGGGAAATTTTCTTTGGTGTTACTACAGATGATTTATTACATCTTTAGCCATTGAAAAATGTAAAAAAGAATGCAGTATTGTTTAAATTATTCTGGTACAAGGTTTTTGTCCAATGAAAATTAAAATTACTTAATTTCCTGATGGATTCTGTCTTAATACTTTAGCTGTATCTATGTTTAATAATTTCCAGTTGGCTAAATAAGCCTTATAGCGGAGCTTTCATAAATACTACAGAAATTAGCAACCTATCGATGCGAGAAAATTTGGTTATGACGTCACTGTACGGACGTACGACCGTAAGTTCCTTCAGGGTAGGTCTAAGTAGACATGAGTCTCTCCCTCTCCACTGGAGAGTTTTGTCCCTTGTTGTTTCAAAAGGCTTTAGATTGGGTAGGGGAAGAAACGGATTTGACACCTTCAACAAAATGGCTGGCGTGCGCTTACTATGCGATGGTTTTCAAGCCCAATGAAAGTATTTTTTATTTTTAGATGGAAAGTACACTGACAAAAGACAATTAATGGAAAGAGAAATTTCAAAAGAATTCTCAGCTTCCCTTTTGTAAACATACGAAACCTTTTTCTTACGAAATTGTTCTTCGAGGAATTAAACCTTGTTTTCTGCATGGGGGAGCGCTTGGCCTGTTTTTGGACCAACCAAGGCACCCAGCGGGGTTACTCCGGATTTTCAAGTGACGGGGATGATCGAATGGATGCAAAAATCCCTGGGACTTCCAACAAAACCCTCCAAAAATCCCTTGACGAATTTCTAAGCATTAAAAATTAAAGAGAGCATAAAATGATATAACACGAAAACGTTTTCAAAAATAAGTTTGGTTGTACGTTATTGCAGAGCTGCGCCCAAAAAAATCCCAAAATCGAAAATTTCAAACCCCCCAAAAATCCTTTGATCATCCCCGTCACTTGAAATCCGAACTACCCTCTAGGCCAAGGCAGCTAAGTATCTGAAGACATTTCAAGTATATTCTGTACTATATGGTCAAAGGAAATTTTTAAAACAGAACTTTTTTATTATACACTGGTTTCTTAGACGTTTTGTACATTTTGACATCGGCGTGAACTGGAAAACCACAAAATGTGCCCCGATTTGAATTTCTTTGTTGAACTTTGCCATGTTTCAGCCAATTGTACTTGGGTGAACGGATCACGCCAATCCAGTTAGTGTTACGCGAATTGTAATTCAGGATTGAATTGTGGATTTTTGAATAAAAATTTTCAAGAAGTAAAGCAATCTGTCTATTGTTCATTCATAACATTAGCGCAAAACAGACAATCGTGAGACCAACTTCGTTCCCAGGTTCTCTTTCCTACCCGTCTCTCGCTCCGTAGGGACGGGTAGGAGAGAACCCTGGGGATGGGTTGTCGTGAGGCTACAGATCGTGAGATTTTTAGAAACAGTTCTGGTGGGTTTGTAGTTCATGTTCCGTTTAATTGTTATTCATTTTCGTATTCATTACTTGCCATTCAGGAACTTTGCTTTGTCTCCATAGCCCGTGCCCGGAATATTGCTTGAACTGCAGTATCTGACGTATCTAAAATATGAAAGAGTTCTCCTTTCTTCTAACGACAGACCCTTCAGTATTAAGTCGTATCGCAAGTTTTTTAGTGAATGTACTCGTGTGCACAACACCTGAACACCGGCATCGCAAAGTTTGTGTAGATTAATTTAGA